GTAAAAGAATACCAGCATGAGAATACTCCATTGAGTAAGATTTCAGTCAATCTGAGGCTATCACGTTGATAAATATCTTCAAGCTTGACCAATATGAAGCTATCATGTCGATAAATCTCAAGTTTCCATCAATCAAAGTCTATCACGTCGAGAAATATATTCAGAATTGATTCAACCTTAGGCAATCACGTCGAAAAATCTATTCATAATTCATTCAATCTGAGGCAATCACGTCGAGATTCGAAAAATATCTCCAAGAAAGATGTAATCAAGAGCAGTTTATTTCACAACTCAAGAGATTAGGGAGGGCCACCTCATATCATATTGTGGCACGGATATTCCGGTCTTCTATTCAATAAAGATACTTTCATAAATTCCACACACAGGGGCATTCCTCATCCGTACTCGCAAAGCTGCTCAAGCCAATTATGTTGTACGATATGGCTACAATCAAGCTAAAAGCATCATAACGGTCACCCCGACCTGGTCAGTGCATGAAGTCGTTCTCATCTGCTGCAGATACTTTCAAACCTGATTCCCTAGTGAATTTGGGATGTCTGGAGTCCTCGTTGACTTAGCATGCGTAGGTCCACATTCCCCTAGAGCTAAACCGGGGAATTTGCAGAGCTAAACGGGGGAATTTGAAGGTGTCCATGCCCATCTTTTTATCCCCAAGTGATTTAAGAGGTAATTCCCCAGTGTGGCGTAAACTTGAGGCATGTATTCGAAGAGATCCACATGGTGTTCAGTATCCGTTCCTTGGCATATTTTGTCCTACCATCCTCTCAGCAGTCCAGGATGTAGAGAAGTCGGGCAAAATTATCTCTTCCCCTACAATACAATTTAGAAATAATTGGTGTACCTGAAAACTCGCTTTGTCAGTAATTAAATCCCAGCGGAGTTACCAAAAATATTTGGTATCACAAACTTCCTGTGCAAATCCTTATGGGTATCCCCAGTGATCCTTGGTACCGTAGGTTTTTAGCGCTGATATGTATTGGCATCCCCAGTGATGAGCAACAGTTCCCAGATAGCCTTTGCTTATCCCCATGAAGTCTATTTCTTTTCATTTCATATAGTTATCACTGCATAACAATGCATCTTCAAAAGCGCGTAGCCGATCCATCAGAATGGATCTTTGCGGCAAAATAAAATCAAACATGCATACGAAGCATAAGCCAAATCGGGCACCTTACACGAAAGACCAGAATCATTAAAAGATAGCAATACATCCCCACAAGAGGATATTTCTCCCAAACCTTCAATCGACGTCCTTTGTCACATCACGATATCCAGCTAACGGTGTCAGTACCTTGTACTTCCAAACACTCGTCTGTGTCAGTTTTCTAAACATGCATCCGTGTCAGTTTTCTAAACACTTGTTTGTGTCAGCTTTTCCAAATACTCGTCTGTGTATCATCTTAGAACCCTGAGGTCGCCCATAGGCCTAGTTCTCCAGTAGATGAGGTTTCATCTTAGAACCCTGAGCTCGCCCATAGGCCTAGTTCTCCTTATAGATCTTGTTTTAGAATTCTGAGGTCGCCCTTAGGCCTAGTTCTTCAGCAGATTGCCCACAGGTATCTTTGTAGAATCCTGAGGTTGCCTATAGACCTAGTTCTCTGACAGATCACTCTTATGTCTCATCTTAGAACCCTGAAGTTGCCCATAGGCATATTCTCTAATAGATGAGGTTTCATCTTAGAACCCTGAGGTCTCCCATAGGCCTAGTTCTCCCTGTAGATCTTGTTTTAGAATTCTAAGGTCTCCCTTAGGCCTAGTTCTTCAACAGATCACCCACAGGTATCTTCGTAGAATCCTGAGGTCGCCTATAGGCCTATTTCTCAGACGTATCACTCTTATGTCTCATCTTAGAACCCTGAGGTCGCCCATAGGCCTAGTTCTCCAGTAGATGAGGTTTCATCTTAGAACCCTGAGGTCGCCCATAGGCCCAGTTCTCCTTATAGATCTTGTTTTAGAATTCTGAGGTCACCCTTAGGCTTAGTTCTTCAGCAGATCCTCCACAGGTATCTTCATAGAATCCTGAGGTCGCCCATAGGCCTAGTTCTTTGACAGATCACCCTTATGTATCATCTTAGAACCATGAGGTCTCCCATAAGCCTAGTTCTCTCTATCGATCTTGTCTTATAATTATGAGGTCACCCTTAGGCCTAGTTCCTCAACAGATGGCCCACAGGTATATTCGTAGAATCCTGAGGTCGCCCATAGGCCTAGTTCTCCGATAGATCACTCTTATATTTCATCTTAGAACCCTGAGGTCGCCTATAGGCCTAGTTCTCCATGTAGATCTTGTTTTATAATTCTGAGGTTGCTCTTAGGCTTAGTGCTTCAGCAGATCGCCCTCAGGTATCTTCATAGAATCCTGAGGTCGCCCATAGGCCTAGTTTTCTCACAGACCGCTCTTATGTTTCACCTTAGGATCGTAGCTCGCCCATAGATCTAGATTTCCTATTGTATATCACCCGTAGGTATCACCTAAGGATCGTAGGTCTCCCGTAGATCTAGCTTTCCTCTTGTAGATCGCCTGTAGGTCTCACCTTAGGATCGTAGATCGCCCGTAGATCTAGCTCTCCTCTTGTAGATCGCCCATAGGTCTCCCCTAGTAGATCGCCCATAGGTCTTTCTTTAGGATTGTAGGTCATCTGTAGATCTAGCTCTCCTCCTGTAGATCGTTCGTAGGTCTCCCCTAGAAGATCGCTAATAGGTCTCGCTTTAGGATCGTAGGTCGTCCGTAGATCTTATCTATCATCTTTTCGTACCAATCTTTGTCTTGTATTGACAGCACTGCCATGTTACAAGTCTAATCTTTGTCTTGTATTGACATTGTTTCCATGTTACGAGTTTACCTTTCCTTGTATTGGCATCACTGCCACGTTACAGGCCATTACCTTTCCTTGTATTAGCGTTGTTGCTACGTTACAAGTCATCCTTTCTCTTGTATTAGCCTTTGTTGCTACGTTATAAGTCCAATCTCCATCTTGTATTAGCATCTTCGCTACGTTATAAGTTACCCTTAAAATCTTCCCACGAAAAACAAAAAGATTCTTCCCCAGCAGATATTATTAAAAAAGAAACAAATAACCAACTCACGCTATCTCTCAGAACAAATTTTTGGCATTGATATTTAACCATCTTCCACCTTGAATGTTCGAAAGACTATCGTAAATTAGTATTGAGATAACGACTTTGGCTTTTGCATGCTCCCCATAGGATTTTATTGTTACTTTGTTGACGATCGATGATGTCACTCAATTAGGATTGAGATAACGAATTCGATCTTTGCATACTACCTTAGGGCTTTATCGTTTTCCTTTGTTAATGATCGATGATGTCACTCAATTAGAATTGAGATAATGACTTTGATCCCTTTGCATGTTCCTTATAGGATAGTTATCCTCACCCCCTAGGTTTTTGGTATGCTAACGTAGGTAGACATTACCATTGGCATGCTAACACGGGGGGAAGGGATTAGAACACACACGCCTGTAGTACTCTATGGCATCCATTCTTATTATCTATCTTATGGGTGTGTCTAATCTATGTTTAATGCTTACTACTGAAGAAGAATGCATGCAAAAGAAATGCGGGGAAAAGAAGGAAGTATTTACAAATTTTGCTCGGTTAGGCCCCGCGACCTGTTGCCTACGTATCTTTCCCCTCGCGTTAGCATGCTAAGGTATATGTCTACCTATGTTAGCATGCCTAAAACCTAGGGGTGAGGATAACTATCCTATTGGGAACATGCAAAGATCAAATTCGTTATCTCAATTCTAATTAAGTGACATCATCGATTATTAACAAAGTAAAACGATAAAGCCCTAAGAGAGCATGCAAAGATCGGAGTCGTTATCTCAATCCTAATTGAGTGACATCATCGATCGCCAACAAAGAAAGCAATAAAATCCTATGGGGAGCATGCAAAAGCCAAATTCGATATCTCAATGCTAATTGAGTGACATCATCAGTCATCAAAAGATGAAAGTAAACACAAGTACAATTAGCAAACAAGTGCGGGATGCCTGCTACAGGTCTGTTAAACAGTGACTTCAAGCGCTCGCTCTTTATTTCCTACTTCTCATGATATCTAGAAAAGCAATAAATAAATGAGATAAAGTGCGGAAAAATTTAAAAGAAGTAGCGGCGACTACCAAAAGCAAGCAGATCGTCAAAAGCGGACAAAAGCAATGGAGAAGCAGGGAGTACGCGTCGAGCAAGCTTCACCAAGAAACAAACAAAGTTATAAATAATATCCAACTAAGGTAAAAGCACACACGTGTAGCGAATGTAACGCATAATCAGAAGTTCCTGTACAAAGTATCACAAAACATCACATGCATCAGAACAACATATAATATAATATGAATTTCTCATGACAATGAGAAATAAGTCGTGTCACATCGAAAGCAAGCATAAGCCGTATGTTTCGACCACATAACAATTTTTATGTTACATGATCAAAAGCATCAAAACGTACCTTGCACAATGAACAAACGCGTCAAAAATAAAAAGGCAAAATGGTGTAAAAATATGAACAAAAAAACTAAAAGAAAATGTATTTTTATTAATTTTTTATGTGAGAAAAATTCTATCAAAAACTAGAGAATTAATTCCTAAAATCAACTAAGAAATTCTAACAAGTTTTATTGATTTTACAATTTTTTATCATAAAAAGATATAGAATCATTTAATGGAAAGTCCTAAATCTAACGAGGAAAAAGAAGAATCAGGGAGGTGCAAGGCTGGATCAGAGGTGTAGTGCAGTAAGCTGGCGCTAGGCCCAAACAACAAGTTCCAAAAGCTGTTTGTTTTGTCCAAACATCCAGTTTGCACCAAAAATAATGGTATGCGGGCCTGAGTGGGGTTGGATAGCAGCAAAGCCCAAGGGGTTTTTGTTGCATTGTTCAGGTTGCCAAAAATATTGTACATGGGCTTAGGGAATGTTTAATGTAGCAAGGCCTAAATGATTCAATCCAAACTCCATTCACAAGTCCAACCCAATCAAATTTCATTATTCAGTTTTTTATTATCTAAGAATAAGAAATAACCAAAATGTAGCAAAAAAATTAAACGAACAAAGTAACATGTGTGGATTAGGGTTAAATTCTTGTGATGCTTCATCTTCCAAACAAAATCAACTCCCTCTCTCTTCGTGCAGATGGGCCGATCAACTTCCATCATCGGTGGCTTGTCTCATCATGATCTCAGACTACTCCTTCATCTTCGTCAGCGGAAACCTTAACCCCAGCGATCTCCGATGCTACGCCATGAGTCAGCATCTCCTTCGTCTCATGGAGAAAATCGTTGTGTTGATGAGAAGTGAAAATGAACTATGATGATGAATGAAAGTGAAGTGTAGAACAGTTGCAAAGAGTGGAGTGAATGCCGTGAAAGTTTGAAGCTCTGAGATTCTTTTGGCGATTCTTCCAAAAACTGGAGAGTGATCCAATTTCAGGTAAAATCTGAATTCATATTCTGTTAGAGTTTTTGGAAAACAGTTAGGATTAAACTTATCCGAGCCGTTGGATTAAACTTATCCGAGCCGTTGGATTAGAAGCAATTAGTTAATGAATCAATGGTCAAGATTTATTCGGTTAGGGAAGTTGAAATTATGTTATGAGATGGATGGAAGAGATTGAAACAGATGAAGGTTAGTTATGATTTTGCTTCTACTAGGAACCGTGAGTTGAAATGAAGTGCAAGTTAGTTAAAAATCATGTTAGTCTAAAATCTGTTAGATGAGCTAGCAATGGTTAGTTTTGAAGTTAGTTAGACTTGTGTAATTTCTGTTATAGGATAGTTAGAAGGCTTGGGATTCCTGTTACATGAGCTGTCAAATGTTGTCCAAAAAGGGCCTTTTACACTTTCCTCTTATAACTTGCTTACTTTCTCTTTTGTATTTCTGATTTTCTATTTCTGCTGCGGGCTTGTGTGCATACCTTCTCATAGCATATTTCCACTTGTTTTGTGGCCAGGTTTGGCGATGATAATTTGGAGTATCAACTGGTGATGTCTTGACATAGTTATGGCAACTGCTGCAATGTTTTTTTGACGTGTGCTTGCTGATTTGGTGCACTATTATGTTGCAGGTCTTGGGTCTTAGGTCCTGTCAACAGTTTTGATCTTTGGCCATTTGTTTGCAAAATGTACTTCTCAATGTAATCTTTCAATTGCTTTTGTAGTGGACTGTAATTGGTTTTTTTGTATTAACTTCACATGGATTTTAAATGTAGCCGACTCTTGAATTTGAACAACTTCACATGGATTTTAAATGTAGCCGACTCTTGAATTTGAACATATTCCCTTCATTCGCTCAAATTGGATTCCCAATTCCCTATTTTTGTTTTACACTTCATTTGAATAAATGTGAATAAAGTCCCAAAAGGGACTAGAATGGACTTTGGCCAAAAATATCAAAATATCTTTAACTTGAAATACCTTCAAGACAATACCATGTAGTGCCTCATTTTTTTTGCTTAAACTCCAAAGCTATGGCTTGTAACCCGGGCAACTTTAATGAACCTATTTTGACTAAGTAATGAAAGTTAACATCCCTTAATGGTTCACTTTTCACAATTCCTTGAACTTGAAGTAATTGTTGACTGAAGGAACTACCTTTGAACATTTATACTCAAAGCCTTAAATGATGGATGATAGATTGGTAAAATCTTGATTCGTAGCTCACACAATAAGGCCGCTCTTGAATGAAGGCTTTTTTGTGTTTCATACTCAAGAGCTTCTTTTGCACAAACCTTGATTGACTATAGATACCAAGATCTTTTCACCAACTTGCACTTTAAACTCTGGCTGAAGCCCTGAGATGATGATGTCAATTGATGAACAAGCTCCACCAAAAACCCTATTGAATAATACTTAATTGGGGAAATAAACCCTAATCAAGTGACAATGATGGGCATAAGAAAATGATGTTTTTAGACTTTCCATGCTCTAGCTCATGGTCTCTTGGATGATATCTTGGGATAACTTGTATTGCAAGCAATAATGAACATTTCATGTGTTGAAGGAAGCTAGAGAAAATTCAGGAGAATAGCTTTAGATGACACATATCCAAGTCTTTGTAGATTCACCATATGACCTTGAGTATAAAACCTTGACTTGGAACCAAACCATTTGAAAGAAAGAAGAAACCCTAATTCCTAAGTGGAGCCTTAATCCCATGACCATTGATTCCAAATATTGAGCCTTGTTGTTAATTCATGTAATGTTAGATGACCTAATGAAGGGTATGTGATGGTTATGAGATGCATAAGCCAGATGTTTCTTGATAGAAGGGTAGGACAAATTTGGGGTATTACACCCAGATTAGAAAATCAAGTGGCTAATGATTTAGCACACATTGCCTCTGGGTACAAGGTATCGACTGACAAGCTGAAGAGTTTTGTCGAAGTGAGGAAGAAGGTGGTATCGACAAGGACACCATCATCAAAATTATAAATCCCAAAAGAGGCATATGATTTGGAAAATTTTGAAAATTTTGAAGTTTTTGCCATTGACAATTTTATCATAAACAGATTGGCGAAAGCCAATTATGAATTATTTTGAAAATTCAGTCGGACATGCTGATAGAAAAGTAAAATACAGGGCTTTGAGCTACGTGTGCTTGAGCAATGAGTTGTTCAAGAAAACTACTTAAGGGGTTTTACTTAAGTACTTGGGGAATACTGAGACATATTTGGAAATGGTCGAAGTCCACAGTGGAGCCTATAGCATCCACCAAGCCGACCATAAAATGAAGTGGTTTTTATTTCAATAGGGTGTCTATTGGCCAAGTATGTTGAAAGATTGTATTGAATTCGCTAAGGGATGCCAAGAATGCCAAAAACATGCAGGTATTCAACGACCTGCAAGTGAGTTCCACACAATTGTTAAGCCATAATTATTTCGAGGATAGGCGCTAGACATCATAGGTGAAATTCGACCAGCCTCGTCGAAAGAACAAAAGTCTATCCTCGTAGGAATAAACTACTTTACCAAATGGATAGAAGTAATACCATTGGTTAATATTGACCAAGAAGCAATGATTAAGTTTATTTAAAAGCACATCATTTATAGATTTGGAATTCCTAAGACAATTACTACAGACCAAGGGTCAATTTTCATTGGGCGTAAAATGCAACAGTTTGCGTATGAAATAGGTTCCAAGTTGGTAACATCCACGCCTTGTTACGCTCAAGCCAACAGTTAGGTCGAAGCTACCAACAAGGTAATCATTGGGTTAATTACGAAACACATTTCTAAGAAACCCAAGAATTTGCATAAGATGTTAGATCAAGTTTTATGGGCTTGTCGAACGTCTCCTAAGGAGGCGATTGGGTTGACACCATTTCGATTAGCATTTGGATACAATGTGGTCCTGCCAGTCGAGATACACTTGTAATTAGTACGAGTACAATGCCAAAATGAACTTTTGTTAGAACAGTATTAGAATATGATGCTTGATGAGATGGTAGATCTGGATGAAGAAAGATTAGTTGTGTTGGATGTACTAATTTGACAAAAGGAGCGGGTTGCAAGGGCCTACAATAAAAAGGCCAAAATAAAAATGTTTGCAGTTGGCGACTATGTGTGGAAAGTTATCCTTCCCATGGATTGGAAAGGTGGAACTTTGGGGAAGTGGTCACCAAATTGGGATGGACCATTTCAATTACTTTAGGTGTTCACCAATAATGTGTATGAGATAGAAGAGCTAGGCTTCAATCAAAGAATCTTAAAAGTAAACAGGAAATATTTGAAAAAATATAAACCTATACTTCAAGAGATTCAAATTACTACAAAATAAAGCATGTCAAATATTGTTGGCCAAATGGATAAATACCAAGATGGCTATCAAAGTTCCCAAAGGGGTTACATATGCAGAAACGAGTCTCAGCTAGAATGTGAGAAATGGCAGAATTACAAAGGAAATCGGGATTTAAGATCTTCCAAACGGGTTTTTTTGTAAGTAACTTTTTGGTCGAGACAGGTCTTATTAGTTGCCAGGTGACTAATCTTGCTCCTAAGTTAAAGGGCCTTTTCACCATGAAATATTCCCTCAAGAGTTGATTGTTGGACTTCGTCGAGTGAATGGTCATCGGACGAATTCAATAAGGCCTTCTGATGTTCGACGTCAACAATCTTCTGGTTAAGCACTTCGATCTGATTTCGATAGCTCAAGACTTCTTGGTCAAAAGTTGAATGTTGTTCAAAGCGGGTCTACCTATTAGCCTCAAAATAATTAGCCTTCTGCCCACAAATTTCACTTAATTCCCACTCAACTCTCATTTCATTTTCTTTGGTTTTAAGTTTGAGATCAGTGTGTCGGCGGAAGGTGAGATCTTTTGCGAGTTGGCTGAAGAAAGCCTTGAAGTAGATCAAATATTGAGCCAAGGATTCATGAATAGAATGTTGGGAGATGGTGTTGAGAAGCTTAAAAATCTTAGTTGCCATGAAAGCTTCCGCTTCGACAACAGCTAAAAACTCACTCTCAAACAAATGAGATTTTAGTTGGTAAAGTGCATGGATTACTTCGGCGTCCAGTTCAGTGATGGATAGAGAGGTCGAACCAGGGTTTGGTGAAGTAATTGGTGTATCTCGAAGCAGGTGAATCTTTCTGAACGCTACCATTGGGACCTGTTTCATCAAAGCCTGGATTTCGGTCTGAGTTGATGAGTCGATGGGCACAAGATTGTGCAAGACTTGAAATTAGGTCTTGACAAAGGTTGGATGACTAACTTTACACTATTGTCACCAACAACAGCAGTTGTGGTTGGAATCGGTTCAACATTGTCTGCACAAGGAAGCCCCTGGAGAGAGTTTTTAAGTTAGCATGAAAACTAGAGGCAGAAAAAGGGAAAAGCAAAAATAATATATACCTCTAAGTTTGGTTGCACAATATTATGCTCCTGTGGGAATAAGTCGATGAAGAAGGTGGCTATCATTTTATTTTCCATTTTGGAGGAGGAACCTTGATTTAATTCGACCAACAGAGGGCGCTTTCATTCCTGAGAGATTGATGATGCAACAGGTTGTTGAGCCTCTAGGGTATTAAAGGCATCGATGAGCCATTGAAGGAAGTTGGGTATAGATAAATATTTCTCTTGATATTAAGGCCACCACTGGTCGAACAAATCCTAAGTAAAAAGGAGTGTTCAAAGTTAAATTCTGGAAGTTCAAGAGTTTGGGTTGTCCGGTGGAATTTAAGGTAAAATTGATGTTCCTTAGCAGTAAGTTGTCTACCAACCCAGACAATGTCGGTATGGTGGTAGACACCAAGGCCTAACTGGAGAGAAACTAAGTTTGGTAGATATCCCATGAAATAATATCATGTTGAGCCAGTGTTAATTCGACAGGAAAGCATGGTGGGTGTTAAAAAGGCCCTCCAAATAACGTTTGTACGGGCAGCATTTTGAGAGATAGTGGGAAAGGGATCTCGAAACCAGATTGGACCAAACTGACGCTCCATAAAGCGGGCCATGGTTGAGATGAATGTGTTGGTCTCAACTAACATGTTAATATATTTCATAAAAACGAATCGATCAAGTTGGTGGGGGTGAGTGGTCAAAGACAGCCTCAGGCCTTCGATGGTTCTAGCCTTGTTTAGACACAAAATCGTTTCAGAAATAGGGTGACCCAATTGAATTCGAATGTGGCATTTAGCCAATGTTGCATAAGCCAAAAGGATCCTGAGAGGGTTAAACCAGTGTCATGATTGGGAAGTGCCTTCACCTGCATGGAAGCATTACCGAAAGTTTGGTAGAGACGCGCCAGCAAAAGCTTGCCTAGTGAGATGTTTCGTCCTTCATGAAGTTGAATCGCTAGAGGTATGAAATCATGAACTATTTCAAAAATCCTATGCAAAATAAGAAATGGGAGAGCTAGAGAGTCAGAAAGGATATATGCTTAGTGTCGGAGACATCGTCCATGTCCCCGATATGGTGGTCAGTAGAATAACATGCGGAATCTGAATGATCGAAGCAAAATGTATGTTTCGTCGACTCAGTTGGGTCGAAGGTCATACATAGTGGGGAAAGCCCAATGATAGCTGCCACATCAAATAGGGTAGGTGTCAACATCTCACAATGAAGTTGGAAAGTGTTGGTCGAACCTTCCCAAAAGAAGAGTGAAGCGAGAATGAAGTTGGGGTCGATTGTATGGGCGCTCCG